TCCATACTGCTCGTCCAATGTATTCCAAGTATGCATTTGAGATATCAAAAAAGTACTCCAGAGTGTTGTTCAGCATGGGGGTGAGTAGAAAATGAAGGCTAATCATGTTTTGGGTGTACTATTCCTTTAAATTACACAAATATCTGCTTAGTTATCAAGATCTCATTTATAAACGGCTCCAGTGTTTTTTAGTGTTTTCCAACTCTCGGCTCAGTAGCTGCCAATCTGTAGTAAATATGTGTCAACACGCAAGTTATTCATTTAGATAAGATCAAAGAGTTAATGTTTGGCTTATTTAAGTTGTAACTCAATAAATGTGGAATAAAATGTGGAATATTCAAGTGTTGATGATGCAATATTGATGTCATATAGTTTTGCATTACAATCATGCAGGACATACGAGGTGGCATGTGAAATTTTAAATTGGCAGATATTAACAATCCCCCCCAGCACAGATCCGGATGCTACAAATCTGAACTCACTTATCAAGGTTGTTCAGAAGTGATTCACAGAAGTATTTCAGGTATCCTGCCTCCACGGCATTGTGGGACACGTCGAGCACAAACAGATAGACCGCCGGCTGTGGAGGTCGCAGCTGACAACCAGGGATAGAAAATCAAAGTTAGCAGTCACCTCAAATGTGTGAATCCTTCTGCATTTCAGAATCTATTAATGTTTCAAAATATGCTGCAGCACAACCAAAATACAACACCTCCCTCTGGAGGACAAATAATCACATTGCAACGACAGAGAGGGACTTACCATGTAGTCTGAGGAAGCGATGAACTCCACTGTTGAGTTTTGGACCTCCGGCCTCTTGTGTGGTTCCCCATATGATCTCGTCACCGGGTTGTACATAAACTCATCGGGCACTGAGCAGAGCGTTCAAACAGAAAAGTCTCAGATGAACAAAACACAACAACTGAAAGGATAAAGGAAACAGTTCTTCAGTTTCCTACCATCGTTGACCCGATAGCAGAGGTTACACTTCCACCTGCGTTGGTCCAGGAAGGTCACAAAGGGGTTAATGTAGGTCCGGCATGTACGACAGCGCACTATCGTGTTGGATGTGATCACTGGTAACTGCTGCAGGGAGGAGATGGGAAAAGGTTAAATAAATCTCACCCTATGACTAAAGCAGGATTTATACAGGAATGAGCAACTCTAATTTAATGCTTTTTAAAGCTCTTAGAAATAATTTTAATGCATCAACAAGTACCCATGACTCCCACATATACATATATATATATATATATAAAACAAGGCAACATCCTTTGTCATCTTTACCATCGACAAGCTGCAGCCATGGTCCAAATTCCTTATTTTCCAGCCACTTTTTTTGGAATTTGCATTTTCCCATTCTCTAGCTTTTTCTCCACCTGAGATTCTTTTTCCGAACAAATGGCTATACGATCATTTTGAAGCAGTTCCGCGAAAAACATGCAGAACCAGTTAAATCTGATATATCTGACGAAATTGAAGTCACATGACCCAGCCCTAAGGCCTAAGCTACTGGTTAATTATACAAATATTATAAAAAAATATTTCAATTAAATTATCCCTGGGATGTAATAATATTAAAAACAGCATCGACAACCAAAGTAGTGGTGCTATAATATCCTTCAGCACCTTAACATAAATGTTTATTGTTTAGTTTAATTTCTATGGTGGATCTCATGTCCCCATACTAGTTTATCAAGGACCCTAACTTCAGAAATCAACGCTGTAGATCAGGCATCCCCAAGGTTTTAGAGGTTTCTCTGCTTTAGCACAGCTGATTCTGATGATTGCAGTTCAGCGAATGCCTGTTAATCAGTTTTGCTTGATGGTGTTAGCATTAAGCTACATCATGTTCTGTTTTAAACAGACGATTAGACAATTCCCTCCTACTAAATAATGAAAAAGGAGTATTTTACTTAAAACAATTTGCCTTTTCATCAGATCAAAGGTAAGTGAAATTCTCCAACCCTTTTTTTTTTATTTTAAGGCACAAGTACTCTAAAGGAATAAAATATGCATCTCAGAGAAAACATTTGTTTATTTCCTGAACATACCTGCAGATCTCTGAAGGGGTGAAGGAGGAGGCCTAATGGCAGCCGGGCCTTGTTGAGTAACGCCTGGGTCTGAGGAATGCTGGTCAGGGTGCACCGGAACGTCCTGGTAAGCAGACGACAATCAGGAAAGACTATAGAACAACGTGTGCGGGTTTTATAGGGTTAATGTAGATTATTTTGACCTAAATATAATAAAAATGATGCACTAATGATAAATGTCTTAATTTAAATTAACAAATCCAGCAAATTAATGATGAATAGGCAACTGGAGGGAAGCCTAAGGTGCTGAATGCTCTGATCGGGGAATGCATGCTCTCACTGGCGGAGGCCGATACAAGAAAAAAATAACTGGGCATAATGTGTTGGTCTACCTCTAATAGAGATAATAAAATAAGTCATTAGAAGGTGTTGAATGATAAAGTGTGACAAACTTACTGGGGACTGCAGTTGACCTTCTTTAGGTCAGGGCTGAGGTTGGGTTCAGGGGCCTCTAAAGGCCTTGAAGGGAGCAGGTTTCTCTCCTGCAGGAGGTTGATCGGCCTCAGGGCCTCCACCTCCAGCTCTGGGACTCCACTCAACCCACCCAAAGCCGCAGAGAGCTGAGAGAGGTTGGGGAAAGGCTGTAGAAGAAAAAATCATCTTCAGAAACAGTTTCTGTCTGTGCAGCACTGTTTGTAAAAATGTCACATGAGCAGCCAACACTATCGTCTTACCTGGGAGTACTGCTGGTAACCCGGCTGACTGTAAGCGCCGTGTGAGGGCGAGGCGTCAGGGTGGGCGACCGGTCCGTGCTGATAGGCCGACTGCATGCTTTGGTAACTATAGCTACCAAAGGGCGGAGCCTGGTTGGTCATGTTGTTGGAAGGTGGCATAGAATCTGTGCAAAACACATTTCAGTAACCATGTAAGATCAGATTTTAAGAAGAAGAGCAAATCTTAAGTGTTTTAACATTAAAATTAAACTATGCTCTCCAGTTTGGAAAGGTGGGCTGTTTAATGTTGTCCTTCTTTACAACAAGTCAACATCTAAAATAGAGCTAAACAATAAAACACACTGACTCCACCATGATTTCCTTACATGTTGCCCTCCATTGCTTTCTTCCTTGATTTCTGTCACAGCGTCAGAGCTAACTTACTTTTCTTCTTAATAGTGTATCTGTGATGAGGAAGTACCTGGATAGCTGCCTCCTTCGAGGGAATCATAGTTGTTGGGAACTGGAGACGCGCTGCCAGTACTGGAGGAGGAAGTGTCACCGCCTGAGACATGAAAACAAGAGAAGGATTTCAATAATGAGATAAATACTTAGAGCAGTCTGAAGCAAACTGAGGACAGACTGAAGCAATACAATGAAAAAAAAGATAAACAAATCCTAAGAAAACATTAAAGACATGTAAATGACAGAAGCAGGATGAAGATAAAAGAAAAATAAAGAAAACAAAAGCTAAGAAAAAAAAATGCAGATATTTGTTAGACCTGTAAGATTCTGGGATTAAGGCAAAGAGTGAGAAGGAGACTGAGGAGCTGTTTTAAAGGGTATGATTACATTATGTGACTTGAAATGTATACCTCTGTTCCTACTGAAGTTTTGTTATTTTTGTGTTTTAGTGTTTTTAACTTGTCATTATGAGGCTGAATATGACAAGCCTATTTTAGAGGAATTATCAGCTGATGTTTTTGTTTGTGTTTGCTTTTGCTCCATGTCTGTTATTAAATAAAGTCCTTCTTTGGATGTTCACCAAGACTACATAAGGTGACAGAAGGTATAAGATTGTGTGCATAATTGGTAAGCAAGTTTGAGCAGTAGAGGAGAGGAGTGTGGAAATCCCAGGGGAGCTCTGAAAATACTGAGTTAAGTCCATGATGTGTTAAAAGGCACAAAAAAAAAAAAAGAAATGCAAGAGGGATAAGACTGTAATAGGCTGGGAATACAGTGTGAGGGTTGGTGTTCACTCAGGCAGGAGCTAAAGCTGTATAAAATTTAAATGTATATCACTTTATTATCAAATGACTTTTGTAATGTAAATCCTTTTATTGTCCCGGGGAAACTCACTCTCTGCATTTTGAACCATCCCGTTAAGGAGCAGTGGGCTGTCATTCTGTGGCGCTCAGTGAGCAATCAGGGGTTAATGGTTTTGCTCAGGAACCGAGAGTGGAGGCTTTGGGGATCGAACCAGGTACTTGGAACCTTCTCAGGGCATAAGCACACTGCTCTAACCACTAGGCCAGCACTACCCAGATCCTTTTTCACCAGGCATATAACATTACAATGCTCGTTTAAGCAAAAATAAAAGGCTTCATTTAAATCCTGAAGGATTAGAATTAGCATTGATGGAACTAACAACTGGCTGGTATAGATAGCACTATTAAAGATGCAATGACAGCAGGTGAGCCCAGTGAGCCACCTGCTGTCCTGGAAGAGTTACATTTGTAGCTCTCACCTTTAACATAATCATCTCATCTACATTTATGAAGGTTGTGTTGAGGACTAGATCATCTTTCTTGTAGAGCAGGCAGTCTGTGACACAGCCAGAGAGATTCTGGTCAGGTAGAAACTGTATAAAGTAATGTTGAAGCTTTAATCTGATCTCTGATATGTGGTATTTTTTATATAATCAGCTCTAAACAAACAATTTTAAATGTTTGCAGGTCTTCTGTTTGCAAATATACAAACTTAATGGGGACTAGGCAGGTACTATGATGAGTAATTTGTATGCAAGTGGTTCACTATGTTGCCTCAATGCACTTTATTTCAGATTTGCACATGATTTTTTTTTTTGTCAATGTGTTGGTTTACCTAAGAGTTTTGAATATCTAAGATAATTTAACAACATTAAAATAAAAACATAAAAAGCAGTATTTTAGAATGTGCACATTATTGTTTTAGACAACCAAATCTTGGATTTTCATCTTGTGTCATGTGACCAATGGGCTACTAGATGTGAATCAGAACACATCTAATAAATAAAGGGAAGTTTATGAGTTTAAAAATTTCAAGCTGATGATAAGACAAGAGTAAAAGAGAAATTAAAAGTTTTTCAATGATTTCATATTGTTCAACAGGTAAATTGTCGCTCAGAAAAGTGATTCCCCTTTGCTTGCAAACGACCATAACCAGTCCCTCTCTAGTCTCCCATTTCTAAATGAAATAATCCTGAAATGTAATTTAACTAAGTGGAAAAAAGAACACAGTACCCTTCTCTTTCCCCCCCTGCCCAAAATAAAAAAAACGCATGTCAAACTTCGAGCAACATTTCCATAAGGATTAAAGAGGGCAGAATATTTGAATGAAGCTATTAATCCATGTGGGTCAAAGGGAGAGATCAACAGCAAACCAACACTCAGCAGGCCTCAGGCTGAGAGCTCATTGGACAGAACACCATCCAATTATCTAGCAGTAAATCTGAGCAGCAGGCGGCTGGATTAGGAGCTCTAGAAAGCTACAGCTACAGATTCATCGCCTTGTTCACCAAGAAACTTGTTACATCTCTTCTTTTTTGCCTACACCTCTATGCCAGCTTTATCCCTTATATAAGTTCGCTTTGTCCCCTAAAAATAAAAACTATGATCATCTTCTCTCTGATTTTTAATCTCAATATTTTCTGGGACTGAGAATATCCACTTTAGCCAAATGAACACAATATTATATAATTATGATCATGTGAAAATAGTACATTGAGACATAACTTGTCATTATGAGGCTGAATATGACAAGCCTATTTTAGAGGAATTATCAGCTGATGTTTTTCATAAACACTCAATATGAGAGTCTGAGCTGGCCCTAGGGAACCTGATGAGATCACATGGGAAGGCACAAAGGGAGAGCTGAAACAGGCCCTGCTTTTTACTAGATTACATGCTGGTAGAAGTGTTAAGGAGATCCTCTACTGACTAACAGGGCAGTCTGCAAACAAGCACAGAGAGCCTGGACCTGGGGAGGCTATATTTAGACCCATGTTAACCTCTGCCTGATGACAAAGCTCCAGAGGGATCGTTACTGGCAGAGAGGATGAGACTGATTAAGCACACGGATAGCTCCTTGACATGCATGCATGGTGGGGGGTAGAGAACGAAAAAAAAAAAAAAAAACTGTGTCTTTGAACCAATATATGGACCTAATGGTTGGTGTAGACTTTCCAAATTAAATAGATACTGATATGTCAATGAGAATAGAAATAAATGGGAAAAATAGAATTAAGTCAAACTGCTACTGAACAAACAAAATTAGCTTTTAGAATAAAACAACAAATAACCCCAGGCCAACAGGCACCTTTCTACTTTGCACATTTTTTTCTTTAAAAACCTTTTAGTAATGCTAAGAGATTTTATATGAATCAGTCTTTAAAAAAGAAAAAAATCGTATACTGAAATAGCCATAATCAAACTGTATGTACGGCTCATGGAACGCTCTACAGCTCTGACATCACACCATAGGTGATAAACAAGAGGAGGCCCGCCGTTCGCTCTTTTACAGCACCTCGACACCATACCGGAGACCCAGTCTGAGCTAAAACGTCATGTGTTTGGAACAGACCCTTCTTTGTTTTGAACTATTAGGGCCTGTAAGTCAACACCTGACACCAATGCAAAGAACTTCTTGATACAAGAGAGAACTTTGGAGTCCACCCCCTCTGTTTAAGGTTGGTTTTTCTATCTTAACATAAATGGTTTCCTTCACACCCCTTTCAAACCACCCATCTTCTTCGTCCAAAATGTGCACATTCTGGTCCTCAAAAGAATGCCATTTGCCCATAAGGTGTAGATGTACCGCCGCGTCTTGTCGGGAGGAGGGCGCTCTCCTGCGTTGGGCCATGTGTCTGGGGAGAGGTTGTTTGATTTCTCCAATATAAAGATCAGAGCATTCCTCACTGCACTAAACAGCATACACCACTCCGCTCTTATTTGGTGTGGGGGTTTTGTCTTTGGGATGCACTAGGCTCTGTTTAAGGGTCTTGCTCGGTTTGAAATGTACTGGGATTTTGTGTTTGGAGAAAATCCTCGAGTTTTTCAGAGACGTATGGTATGGCGATGTTTTTGCATTTAATTTTCTCACCCTTATGTTCTGCTGCATCTTTTGGATTTTCTTGCTGATATCCATAGTTTTGCAGAATACCTTTGAGTATCTTTAACGTGTTTCTGTTCTTTGTGCTTGCCTTCTGTTTTTGTAGAGACATGCTTAGCCTGGTGTTGTAAGGTTCTAATGACAGAAAGTTTGTGTCCCAGTGGGTGGTGTGAATCAAAAAGAAGATATTGGTCTGTGTGAGTGGATTTCATATACACTTCAATGTTGAGGTTTCCATCTCCTTCCATGCTTTTAAACAAAACGTCTTCAAACTTGGAAACAAAGTCCAGTGGATTTTGTTTTTACTTTTTCGTAATGACCTAGATGACCGAGATTGTTCACCAGCATTACAGCTAAGAAATTAAACAGCAGATTTTGACAATGTGAAATGCAGTGGACTGATAGATCATGAAAAAAGATTGAGAATAGAACTTCGTACAGGACAGGTGACATTTAGAGACATGCTTAAAGGTGGTTGATGAGTTAATGGGGATGAAGAAAGCCAAAACACAGGGGGTAAAACCAAAACACGGGGTAAAGTTTGAGGTAAAAGCGAAAGCAGACCTGCTTCCTCATCCTCATCCTCCTCCTCATCATCATCATCATCATCAGTGCCGGATGACGAGGGGGGCGCTGCTGTTGTGCCTGAAGTAGTGGCAGAAGCTGAGCTAGCTCCACTATGAGGAACATATCCATACTGCAGGCCTGTTGGGACGGGGATTGAAAAGGGATTATAAGAAAACTGTCAGGACTGAGCGACTAACAGCAGGAGTTGGAGTGAGATTTTTGGAAAGGCACATTTGTTTTCCTATACAGTTTCTCTCAGTATCAGAAAAAAAAAAATGACAAAAAAACAAACAGCTTTTATCTATATAAAAGTAAAACTCAAGTCATTTTATAATTATTACAGTAAACTACAGTAAATGGTTTATAATAAATCAACAGGAAACACAACAATGATAACCACCCGCTTCAGATGTGATCAAGCATTAAAGGTACACTATGCAACCGGTGTTGATATTCCAGCGAGGCTCCACCCAGAGGGCGAAAGTAAAAGTGCACTGTCGTAAATATGCACAGCTGTTCTCCTGGTTTCTCCGTCAAGCCAGGCGCGGTTGTTTTGAGCTTAGCAGACA